GAAGTAGATCTTTTCCCATCCATATTTATGTTACTTCCGTTTTCTTCTATGCCTCTGATAATTATGGTGTTATAGACATTTAGATATTGTTATGTGTCGAACAGCAGTGGTTATCTTGTCATATAATTAATATTAAACGAATTAGAGATTGTTTATCAGTTTATCCCTATTTTTTTCAAAACAGAGAAACAAGATAATGGCAATAGACTGGTGTGTTTTTCGGGACCTTAGCCTGTTGGGAAACGTAATTTTTAACTAACGTTTCGCAAGCAGAATACATTTTTCCGCTATCGTGCTTTCTAACGTTGTTTCGCGCAACAGGAAGAAACCATTTTCCACCACAGCCCAAAATACGCACCAGTTTTAAACCATTCATTTCAAAACATAACTTTTGTAAAAATAGCAAATTGACGTATAAAACTAATTCTGAATAATCAGTTCTACGTTCCAAAAATATAATTTTTTGAAAACTCATATTGACTTCTCCTGAAGATTTAAAATTTTATCAGACTGTATTCAATTTTCAATGGTATTTAAAATAACATTAGCCGTACATAGCAATACAAGCAAACGTTCCTTCGTTTTTAATCGCGTGTTATTGCCAAAGTAAATTATTCAGAAATGTAAAWTAMTTTTTTAAATGATTTGATAAATTTTGATTTAAATCTKTAAATCAAAAATTGTCAATTTCAATTACTTGTCCCGTTTGTTCATAAGATCAAATGCAACCATTATTCTTTATGAATTCCAAAATATCAACTTAATTGCTTCATCCCACTCAACTGCTTGAATGTATTTTTAGACAGGTATAGATCTAATAAAGCCAATCTAAAAATTAATAGGTATAACCATTAATGGGTTAGTCAGCTGCCACTTCATACACTTCCTCATAAGGGTAATAAATTAGCTTAGTGCACCGGAAAGAACTTTTAAGATCTAATTTCTTACATTAACTGAAAATGAACATAATGACCACCTTGATAATGAACGTTTTAAGTGATAATCAGCCTCGTCAAGGGGCTCAATTTAACGTTGTAGTTTAAGACTTAAATTGGTAGGAAATGTTTCTTACTTGCTTACAATATGTGATTAGAGCTCGTATGAATCATATTGAAGCTATAAATCAGATCACATTAAAGAACTCAATATGACTGAAACAATGCATTTAAATATGATGGCAAAACAACCGGAATCTGAACTTAAAGCCGTCAATCTTCACTGTGAGAAAAAGTAATAGTCATTTCGAATCCATAGTAGTAACATCGCATTGTAAAAGATTAGTGGCATTACAATCAATACCAAATTTCATATTAATCGGATTTTATTACGTTGTCTAAATATTCTGTTCAGAGTCAAATATTAGTTCAAAGGCGAACATTTCCGGAGATATTTGCTTATTAAACCAAACTGAAGGATGTATTTACTTACTTCCTAATATAAAAATAATAAAGCCCTAAATATTGATATTTGCGTGAAGGTCTTCATACTGGTGACAAATTATATTATGTCTTTGATGATTTTTAATAATATGGAATCAATCTAGAATAAATATTGCCAAAAACAATTCACTTTGAATGTACGTAAAAAATGTAATATTCATTTCTTTTGAGAGAGCGAGTTGAATTTAGTGTTCCCATTTTTCGAAAAGATTATTGAATCATCCTGTTTTACCCGGAAATGCCCGATACCACCAATATTCAAAGGAGAACAAAATGAACACTAGCGTTTGGTTATGCACTCAATAATTATTTTATTAACTATTCCTTCTATTTGCTTGAAACTTGTCAAAAATTGTTGCTTGTTTGTGTAAAAATGCAAAAGACCAAAGGACTAAAAGTTTTACGATTGCCGAAAATCTTCCGATTAAAATTTACTACATTGCCAGTTGCTTTGAAATAGGCTCAGAAAAAAGTGAAGCACTTCAAATTTCAATCTTTTTCGAATGTATTCGGAATTTTACGAATTTTCCTAATTTTAAAACGACATTTGATAAAGCTAAAACATGCAAATATGCAGAACTTTGCCCCAGTTTAAGATATCTCGAATCTTTAATGGTTTAACAGATACCAATGAAGAGGCTCTTAAAACTGGCACATCGTATATGTAGTTTCTTGACTATGTTTATACGACTATATTTACAGTGTCGATATTTCAGGCTCAAAAATGTTTTACTCCTATACATGAATAGAAAACGTATGAAAATTAGTATAGATTTGGGCGTTTTTATTGGATATTCATACTACAAAGATATAAAAATAGTAATAAATCTCTGCTTATTTGGATTATTGAAATTTAGACAAAATGTCAAGTTAAATTGCATCTTTATTTTTGGTGATTGATGATTTGATGCAAACTATTCAGACAGTTGCATGGGAAACAAATAGAAAGATGCAGTGGCGTAGCAAGCTAACTCGCGCCTGGGGCACAATATCTTTTTAGCGCCCCCCCAGTTTCATTCGAATTAATTCGACTCAGCAATTATTTGTTTTGCGGACCATTTGGTGCCCCTTTTCCAGTAGCGCCCGGGGCACAATGCCCCCCTTTGCCCACCCCTCACTACGCCACTGGAAAAATGGCCAATATAAAATATGGTAAGCGTGAAAATAATTCAGCAATAGTTCTAAATATTTACTTTACAATGATAACGTAAACAAAAAGGTATTAGTAAAAACCGGTCGAACGCTTTGTCCAGCAGGTTTACGAAAATAATTGTTTACTTGTTTGCCGACAAACAAGTGAAATGCGCTACTTGAATATAAGTTAAATTGTAAAATTGATCAGTAAGGTTATTTTGGGTTTTGGGGAATATTTAAGGGTTGATTTATTATTTTCATTTAAATTAATTTATTCTAAACATATTGAGCTGTGAACTTTCTGTGCGAGATTTTTTTTCGGTTTTTCGGTGCTTTCGAACAATGCTAATATAGTGAGAAACTTCACGTGAGGAAATTTCACATTCACATTCCTATCTTTATGAGACCTGTACCAAAATGTAGACATTGGTAAGTTTTTTACTACATTCATCTTTAATTCATTTAGAATGCGATTTAGTTTCCGAATAATCGCGGTTTAAAGTACAGAAACAATTAAACTTGCCTGTATTGAGATTTTGGTTGAGATTGAAAAAGTATCTGTACTAATAAGCATTTTAGGACTCATTGCCATATGGCCGTTTCTTTTCTGTTTCATCCTAGAATAGTATTTCGAAGTTCTCAGCGATATTTCCGGACAGCCTGTAGAGTTTTAAATGTTTATCCAGAATATTTGCTTCACAATGTTAACGTAAACAAGAAGGAAAATTATCGAAACCAATCGAAAGTCTTATTTATCAGGTTTACTGAAAAAAATGTTTACGAATTTGTCGACCGAAAAGGTGGAATGCTCTGGGGAACTAGAAGTTGAGTCATTTTGTCAGTTCAACACGTTCAAGTAGCAATTGATCTGAGTTTCGGAAAACGTTTTAGCTTTAGTGTTTCGGAAAATTGATTTATTGTTGATCTTTATGTGCGGGAAATTTAGTCGGTTGATACGGTGATTTTAGACAAAAGTGATGTGTAAACAAGTAAACAATCGAGAGAAACTGAGTTTGAGTGAAACGAAAGAAATTTCACACTTATGGATTACTGGCCTTTATCAAAATATGTCGGTAAGTTTTATCTAGTATTGACTTTTCGATGCCATTTAGATCTTGATGCAAATTTCGTACTCGATTTTGCAAGTTAATTCGGAGAGCGGCAACTAATCTGCTTTTAAAACGATAGAATCCAGTTATCTATTCGGATTAAACAAATACTATATAACTCTATACTATACCGTTAGTAACGTAAGGAAATATAGTAAATAGAAGCTTAATAAATTTCCTGTTTTTACGAATTGTCTACGAGCTTAATCAAGGATTATTTTATAAATACTTTAATACTTAATATATACCTAATTTCTGCACTTCATTTAAATAAGCGCGCATTAAATTTTTTGCAAGATTATCTTGCCCTTAAAACTATTTACTTTCCTTTGTTAATAAGTCTGAGTTTTAAGAAAAAGTTCACAAAAGTCATCAGCAAGCTAAAATATCAAAATAGTTTTGGAAACTAAAAAAAATTCTTGAAATGCTCTGAAACCTGAAGCACTCTTCTATGAACCAACATTAAATAATAAAATAAGTGCATCAAACTGTCTCTGCATCAGCTATTGCTGTTGATCAAGTAAGTACCCACCTACTTTTTTCAATAATTTAAAAAATATTTCTACTGAAGCTTTGAACTTTATTCTCATTCTCATATCGATATATCACCATATACACTATTACTGTATTCTATTCGAATATGTGCAATTCACAAAAGCTTCAAATGGGGGCCACAAAATAACAGTATTTGAATATTAATATATTCTCGTAAGAAATAATTAGAACTTACACGAGTTCAAACTGGAAGACTGTCCCATTGTGACTCCAAATCCAGATTAATGAAATTAGTCAAAACTATTGGGTTTAATCACTGTTATTGCAGTTTGTTAACCTAAATTAGATTGGAAGGACATGATTATCACATTTCCGGCACATGTCATGCACATTCTACGCCAAGGGGTAGTTCTTCGGGTCACACTTTATATTGTCGAACAGTTTCTAAACAACATATTAGCACTAATATATAAGAAAAACAGCGATTTGATATTACAATAATCCGGAACCGTAATAACAATGAAACTATCAACACTTAACAGCTGTTTTGGGTCCAAGTTTTCATGTTGCCAAACCAAGTAACTTTCGAGTTTCGATGTGATTGTGTCGAAAATCTTCATATTTTCTACACAATTCAACTCCTAATCGAAAATGTTCTTAATTTGCATCCATTGAATTTTCTACTAGCTTTTTTTATTTCATAGTTTTAGGAATAAAGCTGAAAATAGATGACGCACTTTAGCTCTTCACGTATATATCGGGCATCTTGGCATATTATTATGGATAACTTCACGATTATTTACATTTCTGCAAATTCAAATATTAGTGTCAAAAATTAACCTAATACAAAATGTAAGCAGTACAGTTCTGTTGATAAAAATGTCCAAAGAATATAAATATTATTGCACTAACTGTGGTGGAAAAGTTGAAGGGCTGTTTAAGAAATACAGCGAAACTGTACTAAAACTAACAGAATGTGTAAGATTGGTGGCATAAATTTAAAAACACATAATCATAATTAATAAAAACAATCCTAGCAATGTTCAAATGCATTAATAATATTGTTGCTAAATATCAATAATTTCAGACTGAAAATTCCACTAATATAGTTATAGCTGTTTCATATTTTTCGAATCCTATCTAACTGACGCTACCAATGTTTTAGAAATGTTGCAATGAAATAGCAGATAAATATGTGGAATATGATATAGTAATAATTATTATAGACTTGATTTTGCTAAATACCAAAGCTTATAGACATATCCTGTTGAATACTGATTTCAAGGTATGTGAACTTACTGAAGATGTAAAACTTTATGAAAATATCTAAACACTTTTAGCATTTTTGGAAATTGTCTGTAGTTCTAATTCTTTTGGAATCATACTGTATATGGGCCTTATCATGTGGAGTTAATACTCCCTGTAAACCAATTAACAAAACAGAACCAAAGTTACACGACTTTGATATGAATACTGAAGATCTCAAGTTTTATGTTATTTGCTTGAATACAACCCTAAGTAAGTGAAGTTGGAAAGTCGACAATATCTGAAAAATAATCCGTTTTAGGTTACTTATGTTTTGTAGCGGTCATGTACTTTCTTACAGTATTATATAACAAGTATTTAGCAAGTCGTCCGTATACACCATCACAATTAGCGCTCATTGTGAAAACTGCAACTTTGTCGTCCACGGGAATATTTCTACAATTACCATCGATAATATGGGATATGTCCTTGTTCAGTTATCACTTACACTTTATCACGCTGTATACTTGGTTGTGCCAACTGTTAGCTTATAAAGGTATACATACACGTTTTATTTATCGTCTAAGTCTGCTACTATTTGGTCGCGATAGTCGAATTTACTATATCTTTGGCGGTTCTTCACATAGTTTAACACATATTGAAAATACTTTGTATTGTACATTTAGTCTGTTAGTAGTATCACACTATCTAAACGTAAAGAGGCTATTTTTTAATAGACCATCATGTAAATCCGCTATGCGGTTTTATCACATATTGACTGTTATTTTATAACATCAGACTCTTCATTAGGCTTGAGTGCTTACTCAGTATACATTTTGTAAATCAATTTCCAAACTTAACATTCTAAACTCCCTAAATTCCAAACTTTGTTGCTCCTAGATTATTTTATTTTTATTTATATGACTATTTACGAACCGTTTTTAAGTGGGATAGCTCTGTTGTTTTATTTCGAACGCTAATGATATTTAGCATGTTCTGTTTGAGAGACAACTAATCGACTTTTTCTTATTGTTTTAGTGATTTGTCCAAGTCCGAAAATTTGGTGCCTCTTAGTTATTTTTTCAGCACACATTTTAAAGAGCGCATCTAGCTTATACCTAACCATACAACTGAATTCAATACTGCATGAGAGTTTGGAGCTTCAATAAAATATATCTTTACACTTGCACATGTATTTCCTGAAAACCTACAACCTCCCTTATTGATAACAAAAACAGAAACGTTTACTTCTTATATTGATATTGAAACATTCGAGCTAAACTATAACTTTAGTTTGAAGATGATTTCAGCCTCTCATTGTCCAGTTGTCCATTTTTATTAATATATGAAACAATATCGCTTTCATGTAGATTCAGCTGAACATTTTTAACGATGTCGTTCAGCTCATATCGTGGAGGTGTCTCGCAGGAATTTTTATTTAATACTATGATATATCGAATGCCTGTTCTCTTACAGTCTAGTAACCTTCGGCCAATGGTCCATTCTGTTCTATCATCAAGTATTATATCATTTTTGAGATTCGGCATAAAGGATTCCAAGTTTCGGTACAAGTTTTCACCCAGGTTGCCGATTAGTTGGTCTTCTTTGCTTCCTTTCTGCAATAGAAAATGTAATTACAAAGCGTTTCTTTACGCGTTTTAAATAATTTAATTTATTTAGCAACACTATTTTATTGTCAACAGTGCAAGTCACTTACTTTCGGTGTAATAATAACTACATTATATGGAGCAATGCTATCAGGCCATCTTAATTCTTCTTCTGAACTGAGACACTCCAGAACTGCGCCCAAAATGCGACTAACTCCAATCCCGTAACTGCCCATTTGTAGGTCCTCTGGTTTACCATTTTCATTCAAGTAAACTGATTTGAGCGGCTTGGAATACTTGTCTCCGAGCAAGAACGTATGGCCAACCTAAGTTGATTTTATCTAGTTGTCAATAACGCAAACTGCTCAACACTTTCAACTTGATAATGGACTTTGGTGTTACTTTCGATCTTACCTCTATAGCGCTTTCTATAGATATATTTTCGCTTTCACCACATTTACTGCATTTATGTTTTCCAGTCAGTTCTGTATTAGTAGCATGATTACATTGATGGCAAAGTAGTATTTTGTCATCTCCAATTGCAGCGGGATAATGATATTCATGAGACAAATTACCACCCATTGCACCAGAATCACCCAAAACTAAAATATAATAATAAACATTTCAGTGGATGCATCAAAAAGTTTTCATAATGTCATCGAACTTTAGAAGTCTATTTTTGCGAGTGAACTCAAAGTTTGATTTGATTGAAATCTGTCCTTATTTTTAATTTAAAATGTTCACTGGTTCAAAACGGAAAATTTCAAATTTTGTATGATCAGGGTCTTGAGATCAATCTATGGTCATTAATCTATCAGTAAAATAATTATCTTTATGTTATCATTAGATCATCAGACCTTATCATCTGATTTATGATGTAATAATATGTTTCTCCTCTAACTATTGGTCATCCTTAGGTAAAGTTTGGATAAGGTATGAACACGCTATGAATTTTCATTTTATCTGAGCAGTAAGTTCTGATAGGTTCTTTCTATGCTCACCTTTAACAAAATCAACTCCTATTCGTTGAAATACTCTGTCATAACTTTGGCAGATGGTATTGTAAGTTTTTAGTGCGTTTTCTTGATCCACATCGAAACTGTACATATCTTTCATTAGAAATTCTCGGCCTCTAATTAATCCAAATCGAGGTTTTAGTTCGTCTCGAAACTTTGAAGTAATTTGATACAACAACAGTGGAAACTTTTTATATGATGTGGTTCCTAATGTTGATATTAAATTGGCAGCGGTTTCTTCGTGTGTCTGAAAACATCCATTATTTAAAATCTTCAGTGTAATTGATATTCGTATATATTAGGTATTACTACAAATTATGTTATTCAAATATCTTTGTTGATTAGTGGGAAGAAGCCGTTTTTTCTTAGTAACTTTTTGTATTATACTTCTTCTTTCGTATTTTACTTTTTGTTTTCTTTGCAAAAAATGGGCTCATTAATCTGCAGCAATCGTTAACTAGATATCGAAAGCATTCTTAATAAGCATACATATGTAATATAAAATATTTACCTACAGGGCCTAAAATGTATTTCTGATCATGCCTGTCGTTCAAAGTTATCAGTTCTGGACCCATTTCGACGGCTCTACCTATAAGTAAATAATTGTGTGGTCATCTACAGTGTAACTCATTTAAAAGTGGTAAAAACTTTCAAATTTCAGAAACTTTTTTAGGATTATAAAGCTAGCATAAATGTACCTCAGGACAAAGTATCGAATTATTGCAAAAAATAAGGCATACTTAGTACTTTTTAGGGACGAAAATTAATGAAAACGCATTAGCAATTATTTTACAAAATATCTGAGTTGCTGAATTAAGCTATCTCAGAAGCGAGCATGTACCAAACTTTATAAAAGTATTCACGAAAAATGTTTAATTAAAATATTTTGCAATATAAATTAACAAATATGTATGTAAGCAGTGAAACATTTCCTAGTGCCTTACCACTACGTTCCCAAAGATTAGATTTAACTAAAGTAGGAAAACACGTCTTTTGGCCGCCTATTCTCTGCATTTCTTCATCTACTATATTTACGATTTTATTTAATGCCCTTAAGCCCATTGGTAAAATATGAAAGCACCCTGGAAGGGCTTGCTGAATAATTCCTAATTCAATCATCAGCTAAAAATAGTGGAAATGCGTTTATATTGAAATCTCACTTAGAATGTTGCATAAAACTTATACTTGCTTGCATAAAACATACTGGATTTTGCGTTTAAGTATATTGCTTTGTATATCTTAAATGGAAAGTGCTGTGAAGAATATATGAGATGAAATGAATGCAAAAATAGCATAGTTGCTATTTATTTCCTTGACTTTCAGTCTAGTGCATTATTAGGAGTATTTGTAAATTAGGGATATTAGAAATGCTGTACTTATTTCAACCTTTCAACTTGAAAAATTACCCTATGACTCTTCGACGTAAAATCCTTATGAGTTCGTTGATGGTTTTTTCCAATTGCGGTAATTGGTTGAAAAACCTTTGATAATCGTTCCATTTTAAGATGATTTAAGAATTAAAAATTAAATTTAAGGCTGACTTAAATTTCAAACATAAATASAAGGTTGTATATGCTAAGCTTCTTCTTGWATCTTGCTGCAAATATTAATTTGCTGTTGCCAAATCATTGGGCTAAAAAATACACTTGGTTTATTTGTTCTTTAATCTAATAAAGGAAATATAAATTAATATATAAATAAATCAGGTGCTTTTAATTAAGTAATAATTTACTTCAAGATTTATTTTTATGCTGAAAAATAATCAAAAACCATGCGCGATCCCTCAGAAAAGTGTAGAAATAATTCATTTATTTATTGCATGTGCACGAATACAAATTTCCAAATTAATTTATGATTAACTATGATTATGTGAAAAGCAATAATCTGCACGAAACTCACCTCTTCATAGTTCTGGTCGTTCTAAAAACCTTCGATAGGTGTCGGCTTTAGTAATTCTTCTTTTCTGATAACTGCTACCTTCACATTATTCGTTGAATCGATCACGTGAATGACAACTCCCCTACCTAGTCATATGATTTTGACGTCTATTTTGCGACCCATTAGATTCCGTCTTTCAAATATTCCCTTTAAAATTTACTAAAATTTCGGAATAAAATGGGTGCAGCGCTTTTGCCGTTCATTATCTTTACTGTGTTGTGGGGAGGAATAGGAATTGTGCTTCCATTCATCGTTCCTAAGGGCCCCAACAGAGGGTAAGTTTATAAAGTAAATAATTTACTAAATTGTTGTTTCTAATTAAATTTTTCTTTCCAGGATTATTCAGGTGGTTTTAATTTTAACTGGGGTGTGCTGTTGGTTGTTGTAAGTACATATTTTTTCACTTGTGTTCTGTTACTAGTCATGTGATTAAATTATGGGTGTTTCGGCCGCACTTGAGAAACCTAAGTTTTCTGCAGAAAAATAAAGCAGCAGTAAATTAACAATCCATTTTTATATACCATTCTGGAAATMATTTSCATTGTTTYCYTTCTAGTTCAAAGAAAAACTRTTTTACATTAATACGAATTTATTGCTCCACGYACACTATTATTCTATAAATTAAAATAAATGTTGAATGAGCCCCACTAGGGTTAATACCAGTTTAAACAACTTAAAAAAATTGAACTTTTTTTTATCCAGCACACATCTGAATGTTRTACATTTATACTAGCTGTTGACCTAAAGAATGGAGATYCAATCCATTTATTTATTCTTTTATTCGAGACCATCAACAATATTTGACAAACATCTTGGATAAGCGGTATCTTTCCGTTGGAATAAGATCGATAAGCTGCCCATATGGCAGTATCTCATAGTTTTCTCTACGCTTATTAATTTAACTCTTTATTGAGTCCAAAAATGGGTTTGAAATGTTGGCAASCAGTTCAGGACTCCCTGTACAATTAGGTTTATTTTGAACCACCGTTTGGGCCAATTCCATAATCTGTTTATTAAAACTTCATCTACTATCAATATCAATAAATACACAGGCTGTTTTACGTTTTTTCCAGCTGGTTATGTTGCTATGTAGCGCAAATGAATCCTTTGATAGGACCTAAACTAGATAAACACACAATCATGGTCATGGCTAGGGCATGGGTAAGTTATTTATATATATATTTGTGCATAATGAGTACTAGAGTAGGTTCTTCGAATGGACATACTCGTGTATATTTTCTAATATAGAATTCTCATAATCATTTGTTTGAGAAATTCACTATACATTTTTTAGGGTGATAAAATTCCCGATTCACAATAGAGTGTACTTTCATGCAGAAATCAGGACCTATTTGAACGAACAGAAGACATATTTGAAATTATTTTAAACTTTAGTGAATCTATCTGATCGTATCACCGCTGAACTGTTATTTTCCAACTCACCAACTTCAAATTGTTGATTTTATTTGTATAAATTCCTGTGTTATTAAGTTATTTATAGGGACACCTTAGTATTGTTTGTTAGATCAATTACTTATGTTTAGTCTTTACCTGTATATAAATGTTTCATTCCAATAAAGATGTTAGATCAAATTCTTGTATATTTGTTATTTTAACGCATGATAAATTTCACTTTGCTCGATTATTCTGATAATTAGACACTGGTAACTGTTAATTGTAAATGTATTCTCTAGCGAAGTCTCTAAATCTTCTGATAGTGCCTTTCGGGGCCTCTTCAAATTGTTTCTGGTATATTTATCGTAATAAAAATTCCCATTGGATCTGCAATATTTCATTCATTTTTCTGTGTTTGTATTTTGTTTTTACAGAAAAGTTTAGAAGGAAACTGGATACTTTCAAACAAATATAGAAAATATGAATAAAGCAACAGAGTTCTGCTTGAAACTTTGCCTACATCCATAATTAGTGTGGGTTTGGTTTGGGCCGAAGTACTTACATTGCCGATTTACTTCATATTTTTAAATATCATTGATAAAGCATCTTTTGTTACATAAAGCTACATTCGTACTATTTGCAATAGAACGTTTGCTGTGCACTATTTAAGTTTAAAATTCCAGTGCTTCGTGGAAAAATCCGACGTCCGACAATTATTATTACTTACTTTGATATTTCCAATTTTAAGTTAATTTAACAGTGTCAATTCTCGGTTTAGGGGTGAGGAGATTTAACACAAAGGTATTTTTAAATCAATTTTTATCTTAAATATTTTATACACAATTCAAGGGGATAAAAATTATTACAATAGGTAAAATGTTATTGTAATACACTTAGGCATTAAGTTCCATACATGGATAGCATTAATTTTGCTTTTGCGATGTTTTATGGTACAATACTGCTACTCTCGATTAGACGTAATGGATTTTCAGCTATAGTGTTTGCTTCATTTTAATCAGCTCTGATTTCTAACAAAATTTAATCCAGAATTATACTAGTAGGTTGGTATTTAATTATACAATTTAAAGAAGGAATATTTAATTTACAACAGTTCTGATGAAAGAAGTGTATTTCGCCTAATACTACGTAATCAGATAATTAATTTACAATATACAGTTATTTCAAAACGTTTTCAACAAATGAAAAATGAATTATTAAATCGATTATTAAGTCTGTATTATAGCTGGCTTTCAACGTTTTTCCATTTGTTGAGAAATTTCAAAAATATTCCCTATAATAAGTCCTTATGGATGTTTTGCAAATGAGGATCGTTCTATTTTTTGACAGGCAATCACAATATCAGCTACAAACGTTTTTAAGTAAAAAGAACATTCTCTCTAATACTTCCTACGCGAACAGGAAATTTTCAATACTGTACTGTTCTTATCTAACGCACATTTTTACTGTATGTCTTATTAATTGTTTGAACACATTTTAAAATCACCGAAATATTTTAAAGCTAATCTCAACTATATAAAAAAAAACAGGAGTATTTTATTTTTGAACGATTTCACGTTCAATAAATTAAAGCAGACAAAGTCTATTGAATGGTATAAACAGTTTTTCTAGATATATTATAATCAATAATCAATTCCACTGTTACCTAAAATATAGGTTCGATAATATCTTGTTTAATCATGCTGTAAGGTCAGAATTAATGTCAGAAGAACAAATTATTAAACGTTACAATTAAAAGGATACCTATACATAACTAATATTTCAATCGAATACGAACGCAATGCATCTACTGGTAAGAATCTTCTTAATAAATACTACTTACTCTATGCGAATATATATACAGGGTGCTATAAAAAAAATAAATATAAATATATTAACCTAATTGATACTTGTTACGTCTAAGATATACAGGGCTTTAGCAAATCTATAACGAAATGTTGGCTAATATTGTTCAGATTTATTAGGAACAGACATATTGATAAAGCAATTTTAAGATTAGGAATGTAGTGAACACTTTTTGGAAAATACCCTGAATATTTTCTACGTTCTAAATAAATCTCTAAAATACTATAAGTAAACTTTGTAACAAAAGTGTATGTGTTTACACAGTTCTTTTTAATAGCTAGGGGCCTTTAAAGGTTCTAAAATCCTTTAAAGTGGGTCATTTGCGCTACTACATACGTTTCTAACGTTGGGGTTTATTTTACTGGTTGTTTCTTTAGGATCAGAGTGGCGTAAGTCTTTTGAATATTCAGTCCCTTTGATGGTTATCGTTTTATATTAATTTTGGAACAAAAACTCTAATTTTGAGGAATACGGAAAAAACTGATGGGAGTTTGGTTCTGTATTTTTATGTGATCAGAAACGATATTGTTCTGATCAGCTGAGATCCATTGATAAAGTCTACGTTCTTATTATTAATCCAGATCATTTTTCAAATTAAATTCAAATTTTAGGAATATAAGAGCTGTCCAATCATGTAATAAGAACTGAAATTCTAATTTTATTATGTTTTGATGGTGTTGCTAAATTACTTGCAGAAAAACAAAAGTTAATGTTGTATTCAGTTTTACGGGTCGTCAAAGTACTGAATTAAAATACTATATGAAACACATAGTTTAACATGAAAGTTCTGTTTAGTTCAAAGTTAATTTTGTTGCTGCAAAGCAATTTAGGCATCTCAAAACAACAACGCAAACACTATTGATTAAATTATTTTAATATGCCCTCAATTTAGGAAGCCTACCACAGTTGAAACTGGTCTAGATGAACGTGCATACGCTGCTTGATCCAAATGAGTGCTAAGTACACGAACGAAGTGATTGTTGTAAAATATAAGAACGCTGAGAGTAGACACTGTTTGTCGTGATACTGAAAAAAAGTTAACAATACAAGGAAGAGCTTTCCAAATTTAAATCAAATGGCTTACCAAAACAAACCGTTCCTTTTTGTCATGCTCAAATTCGCTCTCATCAATGTGCTGAACTACCAGGCCATTTAGATGTTCACCTGATTCAGTCTCGTTAGGCACGAGAAATGTGAGCTTAACGCCTTCGACAGCCTGCGCATCAGATTTCTGTACAACAGGCGCAGTACGTGGTTCAGCATCGTTAGGAGCAGTCTGAGTTAAATAAGAAGGACTCAGCGCCGGTTGGTTGGATAATGGATACAAATCAGCTTCGTTTGTGACTTCAGGAGCAAACCCATATATGTTTTGCGTATGTTCGGCTTCAACAGCTTTGGATGGTACTTCGTTAGAAATGTATGTAGTAGCGGACGACAGTCAGTAGCATTTCTTTGTACAAGCGCATTTGCGCACTACGTCAATATCTCTGGTGTACCGAGTACCATCGGAGCATATTAAACGAACCTAAAAGACATCAGAAACCTTGTAAAACATATACTTATTTTTAGAGCTACATAGAATCTACTTGTTTATTGAACTTGCCTTTCGTCTTTTGCTCTTTTTCGCATGGCAACAGCTTGTGCCACAAGAGCCGATGCACTTTGCAATTTTAAGTGGTTTCCTCGATCGGCAGCCGTTTTCGGAATAGTACTCCCTTACTTGTTCTTTCTTACACGTAGGAGCTAGAACATGTTTTTTAAGTTGTTTATAAATTATCGGTTTTTACATTTTTCATATTGCGAAATAATACATAAATAAATATAATTTGATAAACAAAAGATATATATAAATACAAAAAAGCTGAGAGTAGATGGTTGCAGTAGCAGTAACAAGTGACTCTTAAATGATTGATATTTTATTTACAAATGATAAGCAATTCTATGTTCTGATTAATAGCGGAAGCAAAATGAACCACAATATGTGAATTTAGGACGAATCGTATGTTGAGCTTAATGGATTTATTTATCTATGCTTGGATGTTATACTAATCTAAGATCTTCCATTCCCAGTATGTTGTAATACTTACACTCGTTCTCACCTTGCTCGCAGTACTTTCCTTTGTAGCCAGGCTTACATCGACAGGAATATTCACCACTCCCATTTGGAAGACATTTGCTAAAATCATTAAATAAAATATGTAGGTGCTCATGCAGTTTAAATTGCATTTCGGAATTTAAATTGAATTTCCTCGAAATTAGCATACCTAAGGAAAACATTGAAAGAACAGAAATATAAATAAGAGCCGTTTTCTATAGCAATTTGTATAAAATGGCAACATAAATGATCAATTATCTGTATTTTAATGTGGTCTGCTGTATTAAAATTTCGTTATTTTCTATAATGTCTTCACTTCACTGTAATACTCCCAAAGCACACAAAAATTCGGGGCGTTTAAATCATGAGATCTAGTAAGTCTATAAACTGACTCAAATTCGATTTCTAGTAACTAAAGTAGTTCATATAATGGTTTAACTGTTTTGGAATGTGAAAGTAACTCACATCTGTAAAACCTGTTATTCTTACCTCTCATGTTTACATTTATTGTTAATACATGGATCTGGAGGGAGTGCTGGTGGTTCTTCAAGCATATCATCTGTTTCGTCTTCCTGTAAGCGATARATTACTGTGMATTTTGCATTTTTTGTCATTCGTTAGTTAGTAGGTYCRTTTMGTAAWAAAWWCTTTAAGTTACTTTTTCCTTCCGTAGAGTAAARTWATCTCCATAAAATTAAATTAACTGTATAGTATTGAAGCTGCAATCATTTGMGAGAAAAATAGTTTTTTGTGATGTTATGTCCTTGAATGACTCAATTTTAACTGCCTATTTAACAAAACCATTATAAGCTACTTTAAATATGCTTTAATAAATTTAAACGAAAAATGTGAACAATTAGCAAMAACTAAGAGCTTATCATACTGCTTTARAATTATTGATATTTTTTAACATAAAAACAAATTACTTTATTTATATTGTAATTATTTTAATCACAATTACACGCAKTCAGGAAAATAAATAAAAAAATAATTATTTATATTAATTCTAGTTTTCGTTTTATTTATCGGAGAAAAAAYATTTGTTGCCCTTTTTCTGATGTTMGAAATTTCTGATCTTTCAATAAAACATTTCGACATCGATTCTTAACTATMAAKCATCAAAGAGTAAACGTACAATTGGAAACAAAAGATGGTAGTAAACATGTAAACAATTCATTGAAACAGTTCGAACCCAAAATTGTCCCCTCATAATTTATAACACACATACATTGAGTAATTTCATCTAACGAYCTAAACTATTACAAATCKAACTATTACTTTTTTCTATTAAAACTCTTATCTCTCTTATTTTGTATGAGAATGTTTTTTTTTTGCTTTTCCTACCTGCAATTCGTCATCAGACTTATCCTCGGTAATTCCACAACCAGGCTGGACTTTTTGTTGCGTTTTTGCGTTTCCAAAGTCGACTTGCTTGTGATTAATCCACACTTCTCTCATACATCCTAGAATAAATCATAGATACACGTAAAAAATATGTTTTCGTGATAGTAACTCCTCCCAGAAGGCACGTTTTGCAAAAACATGAAACCTTTTCACTTGAGCATGCCAAAGTGATATTTTCCAAATTTAAATTGATTTAGTTGACAATAAAAATACATCAATATTTAAAAAATATGAACTGAAGCTGAGAACGGCTTGCAGAAATATGCGGCAAGTGTTTTGAATTCTCAAAGTTAGTTAACAGAAAATTTGTATGATGTTGCATAACTTACCAGAAAAACTGGTTAAATTCCTCAAGTGCCAATCGGTAAATGCATGTTCTCCTGGATCTGGTGGTATTCCACCTAAATACATAGGGGTGGTTAACTTGAGGTAATCTTTAGATCCGTCATTAATAATGCTTCTCGCTAAGCCTCTGTCCACACGAAGGGTGAAGTTTTTCTTGATCGCAATCAGTTCAGCTATATGGTATTGACCATCAGATACCATTTCGAAACTGACGAAAAAAACGAAATTGAATTACTAGTTTTTCAAACACTGATTTAAATAAAACTGATGATGACTTGGACTATTTACCTGTACATTGTGGAAACTGGATAGTTACCAACGTTGTAACTAACTCGGATTCTTCCATTGAAGAGTTCAACAGCTAAATGTTCATTAAATCCATCGTAAATTAATATACCGTCTTGTTGAGTGGTAGCAAAAACTATAGTAACATTTGCTTCCGGCTTGATTCGTAGTGGTTCAAGTTCGACGTAGGAATTGTTGTGAGTAAAGCTAAGGCCCGTTAAGTACTCACAACGTTTCCCTAGAAGCATTTTAGTTAGGAATTTGCACTTTCGAAAATTTTAAGAGCTTATAACCTGAGTATCCTGGTGCACATTTGCACAAATAATCGTTCGAGCCGCTAGGCTGGAAACAAACTCCGTGCACACAATCATGTTGCTGGCATGGGGAAGTTTGTGGGTACATCATCGCCACTATGGGGCTGATTTCGCAGAATTTTCCTGTAAAGTCTTCCGAACATTTACAGAAGTATTCGTTTATGCCATCGACGCAAGTAGCCCCATTCTGCATTAAAATACAAACGAAACATTTGAAATAGTCGCAGGGGAAATATGCAAGTTTAAGATCGATGTGTAGGATTGCGCTAAAGTTACCTGGCACATGTGGTTCTGGCAGTCGTCTACGTTTGAGGAGCAGTTCTTGCCCTTAAAACCAGGTAAACACTCGCAAGTATAATAACTATCGTGATCGACACAGCGAGCATTATTTTCACAAGGGTTGTATTGCTCAGTGCAAAAGGGAATTTTTCGTTCGCAGTACTCGCCTGAAACGTACAATCTTAATGACAATTATTTTAATGAAACCCGTAACTTTTCTTACTATTGTTATTGTCAGTTTTAGTAATTCAGGAAACAGACTGTTAATAGTTATTTTTCAACAACTAAAGTGCACAAAGGGGGCCAAGTGATAAAAATGTGTGTCAGTGGTTCAAATTTGACGAGCTTTACAAGTTTTCTGCATTATTTGCTATTGAATACTGCCAAAATTTTATTACTTTTAGTAAATTATAATTTTAAAATTTACTAGTTAAAGAAAAACAAGTTTGATGTTTTAGCTCGGTGAGAATTATGTTGCAAATAACAGCATTTAATATTAATGTTAATATTATGTATGTATTACATAATCAGATGCGTGGTTTTATTAAAAACCTTCTCGATTTTCCGGTTTCCTAAGCACCTCTTTGCTACGTTTTTACAGATATTTACAGTTTTTTCGAAATGATTTCTAAACTGTTTTAGAAGTTGGCAATTATTAAGACTTCAAATATTTTACAAGTTTTCTTTCTCGTTTTGG